TATACCTAGTGTCTTAAATAGCCTTGAAAGTCCCAAACCAAATTTCAGGTATGCATTTGCATATTAATTTTGTTTTTTTTTTATTTCTTCTTTGATTTTGCTTATCATTCAGTTGTAGGGAACTTCAATGTGACCTAGCTGGGAGGGAGCCCATTCTTGTGAAATTAATGTGTAAAACACGGTGGGATTATTCCTTGGTATATTAACAGTGCTCTGCAATCTCATTAACTGATTTGAAGCTTGAATTTATCACAGCTTGCTTGAAGCCATTTGGAATGTGTGCATTGCAAGAATTTTTTTTGTGTATATTCTCTGTGTTAACTGGGGACCTGCAAGGTGGCCAAATGAAACAGGTTACTTCTTTACTGAAGTGATGGGCATTGAGCCATGGATGGGTCAGAGTCAGATTCTGCAATTTGAGGGAAGCACAGGGGAATCAGGGGCTTATTTCTCTCAATCTATCATTGCCATACAATACTAGGAGAGAGGCAGGGAGTGAGGGTGGGGGAGGTGGTGAGCTGGGCCAGAGGATTGGAGCATGGGGAGGGTTTCAGTTCTATCAGATATTGTTAGGCTCTAAGAAGAGATTGTTTAAGGTAGTTGTACCCCGAATGACCCCCCTCTGCTATTAGTTATAATTGAGGGCAACCAATCTACCTCTCTTCAGGTGTTCTCAATATTTGAAGAGTCATCACCCTGAGATGGAATTTTATGTGGTAAGCACATTTACAGTAATAGATTTCTTATGTATTTCGGAGCAGCCAATTTAGGGCATTTCAAATGTGCATTCTAAAACAATCAGATTTTCTGGTGACAGTTGCTCAGAAAAAGGCAAAGACAAAGATTACCAATCACAGAGTCACCTTTGAGTGGCTGAGTTTTAGGCTAGGAAATGGACTTGACTACTAAAAACAATGCAGATCCAAACTCACTCCCAAGGAGAATGCTTATGAAGATAGCTGTCCCATGGCATTTATATTTCTTTGGTGGTTATCTGATTCTGACAGTTGTGATAAAGGACATAAGACAGTTGCTTGTGCTGGAAGAGACCTAAGACTGAGCCCTTACCACTTACCTAAGAGTCTTTTAAGTGAAGAACCCCTTCCTGTCCTCCTCGTGGTCTCACAGCTCTCAGAGCCATGCTTTAGTCCCCAGGCCTAGAAAACAGCTCTGAACTCTTAGCTCTTATCCTTTCTGAGAATCAACAGGACTCTCAGGAGGGAGCCTGCCCTCCTCTCCTTCCAGTTCCAGGTACCGCTCTGACCTGATCATCCAGCACAGGAGGATGCGGCTTTGCACGTCTGTCCTCTCGGGGTCTCCCACCTTCCCTGACCTCACTTTTTGATACATAGATTAGTAGAAATGGGTTAATTCAAGATGTAAGAGTTAGCTAGAAATATGCAATTAATATAGTTTCTGTGTGATTGTTTCAGGTCTGGGAGGCCAGGAAATGAACAAGCAGTTTCTGTCTACAGCTGTTCTGGAATTCACTCTGTAGATGAGGCTGGCCTTGAACTCACAGAGATCTCTTTGCCTCTGCTTCCTGAATGCTGGGATTAAAGATGTGGGCCATCACTGCCAGGCCTTAATTCTCTAGTAATGGACAAGAGATGGGGAATGGGAGCATCTGGCTTCTTGACTTCTGGCTATGTTCCATAGTATGTTTGTGGATCTTCTGGCATAGATTTCCCTGTCTCCAACTTAGCTTATCCGACTTACTTCATTTCTTCCTTCTCTCAAGTTTTCTTTTATGTTGTTGTTTCTGTATTCGTGATACATTTTGAATCTTCAAGCACCTGTCTTAAAAAGTGTGATTGGAAAAGCAGAAACCAAAAGAGATGCATTTTTCCTATAGAAGATAGATTCCTTGAGGGAGTGGGACCAGAGACTGTATTGTAGCCAGAAAGAAGACTGTAACTTCTGAGAAAGTGCTCTGAACTTGGGAACTAGTGACTTAATGTTCTGTTTCTGTCAAAGCTGACTTGTCAGTTCAGAGCGTTGGTGAAGGCGTTTTTCGTCTGAACCATATTCTTCCGCCTCATGAAGACTAAATGCAAGTTCTCTCTCAGAACCAAATTAAGGCATCTTAGAAAACAGCTTTTTTCCTCTTTTTTCCCCCTTTTTCTTTATTTGGAGGCAATTGGCAGGGTACATGTTCCTTCTTTGCTTTGAAGAAGGGTTTTTAAATCCTGGAATTGGAAAGCATCTTAAGTGTTACAGTTTTTCAACCTCTGGGATAAAGTAGATGCTTTGATTTTCTTCAGTATCACTATCTCCTCTGCATAAAAGCATCGGCAGTTTCTTGGACATACAATGGCTCAGAACAATGAGGAAGCTGACTCACAATCTGGTTTTATTGCTCAGCACAAACCTGCAAACTTAAATATTGATAAGCGTTAGCCAAGTAATCTAGGCAAATAAGGATACCAAGAGTTGGGGTCATAGGGACTAGCAGAGCTGTGGAAACAGGTGAATCCGTGCTCTACAAATATGGGCTTGCCACTCCCATCAAACATCAGCTGGACCCAGTAAAGTACAGCTACTTATGGCAAAGAGCCATGGTCTTTAGTAGACTGTGTTCATTGAAAACAGCCATTTGTGTTACTAGGAAATACAGATTGGGTCATTCATCTATTTACAGTAAACGTGGCTATTTCCTCAAGCATGTGAATGTGAAGTCCTTACAGGCCTTTTTGCCTAGATACCTCAATACTTCTCTACTCTTCCATTTGTCTTTAGAAGCATACTCAGAATTGTTTATTCTCACAATTTTCCATCTTATGACTAACCCATTTTGAAAAATCTTTTCATTTGGATTGTCCTCCCAACTACAGAAGTACTTGTTTTTGAATGTTTCATATTTTCTTGAGTTTAATTTTACACCAACAAAAAACTTTCCCCATAAATCCAACTTGAATCAGCATGGACTCTGTCCTCATATTCCCCCACACCAAGACAGGGTTTCTTTGTGTAACAGCCCTGGCTGTCTTGGAGCTTGCTTTGTAGACCAGGCTGGCCTTGAACTCACAGAGATCTGCCTGCCTCTGCCTCCTGAGTGCTGAGATTAAAAGTGTGTGCCACTATTAATCTCAAAAAAAGTGTGTGACACTGTCTGTCCTCACATTTTCGGTTGGTGGAAAAGATCAATTGATCATTGTTTTCTTTGTGACATTCTTCATATGAGTCAAAAATAGCCAGTGCCCACAAACCTGTACAAGTCTGCAGTGATTTTTCTATCATCTATCCCTATCTATCCATCTATCTATCTATCTATCTATCTATCTATCTATCTATCTATCCATCCCTATCTATCTATCTATCTATCTATCTATCTATCTATCTATCTATCTACCTACCTACCTACCTACCTATCATCTATCTATGCATCTATTTGTCTAATCTATCATTTATCTATCTACCATCTATCTATCATTTATCTACCTATCTAATCTATCTATCTAATCTCTCATCTATCTTCTATCTATCTAGGTGTATACACACACTCACACATATGCATGCCATGGCCCATGTGAAGAGGTCAGAGGATCCTTACAGGACTGTTTCTCTCCTTCAGTTGGGTTCTGAGTATTGAGCTCAGGTTGCTGGATTGCAGCAGGTGCCTTTCCTGATGAGTTATCACACCACACAGGTCCACGTCTGCAGACTCTTATCATGGGCTGTTTCCCCGTGCTCTGATAATTGTAATTACTTTCTTCTGAACTCTCTCCAATCTGTACACTAAAAGAAATAATATTCTGAACTCTACCTAGTTCTTTTCTAGGCCGATTGAGCTGGCTAGATAATACTACCATCTTATTGCTTTTTTTTAGAGATCCCACATAAGGTACAGTCTGTGACCTTAATATTTTTTTTCCAGCAATAGTACTGTTGTAGCTAGGATTTCTTCATATCTTATCTACACAATTCATTTTGCATTTCTAAGTTTGCCACCCTTTACTTGCAGCTAATAAGACTCTATCTTGGTTTTGGTGGGCCATTCCTAACTAGCTTGTCAAGTTGCTAAGAACATTATTGTATTTCAGAAAAACTAGAAAAAAAACCTTCACCTACTTTATAGCCACAAGATGATTGATTTAGAATCTTCCTTCTTTTTCTCCCAATTTTTGTGATATAGTGTATCATGTAGCTGAATATTTTCAATTTCACTGTAAAGTTATTTAAAAACAATAAAACAGCAAACCTCAACTGTTTTGAGCCAAGGAGTCTGGATGATGGTGTGTGTGCTCATGCATGTGATATACATTCATGTTCATGTGTGTGGGTGCACATGTGTGCTGGCACATGTGCCAATGTGTGACGGTGCCTGTGGAAGTGAGAGGTTGATGTCAGGTGTCTTCCTTGATTTGATCCCTGTCCACTTTGTTGACTGAGCTAGGGGTCCGCAATTGAAGCCAGGAATCACCATTTGTCTCATCTAGCTCTCCAGCTTGCATGGGGGTCTCCCTCTTTGCTTCCTGGGCGCTGGGATAGGCAGGGCCACAGCACCCACCAAGATCTTATGTAGACTTGGAATGTGAGCTCCAGTGTTCATGCACTTCCAGCCCCTGCAGCTCACCCAAGGTTTATTAAGCCGTGTGTGCGTGTGTGTCTGTAACTACTGTTTCACAGTTTTCCTGTTACTAGGCGTTTCTTAAAATTCTGTGAAAGTTGATAGCACAGTTTCTTGTTTAGTTGCAGAAACTAAACTTGGGTGATTTGGTACAAAAACTCATGGGTGGTGGTTGTTTCTAGAGGAGAGAAGACACCCCACATGTTTAATACATGTCTATAGATCAGCAGCACCATAGTTTACATTTTTTAGTAAGAAGGTGAGAGAATAGGAGAAGCTTAAGATCAAATATAAATAATATGTTGTGACTATCATATAGCTACTGTTTGTGTAGGACTTTGAAAATCTCTATCCTTTTATTTAAATTTAGTAGTCAGTGTTCTGTTTAATATATGAGCGTAAGATGCATTCTTTGCTATTGTCATTACAGGTTTTGGGAAGAGACCATGAAGACTGAAGAAGTTACATTTTTCACATGATAATTGAAGTTAATGACTGCCTACAACATTTTCATGAAAATTAAGTATGACTTAGAAGTGTCAAAGGTTTATGATGTCATCAGTTTCGACAGAAGGCAAACTCCAGCAGGCTGTCAGCCTGAAGGGCGTTGACCCAGAAACATGCATGATTGTGTTTAAGAACCACTGGGCTCAGGTAATAAATGACCTCCATCTCCTCTGCTGGTCTCAGTAGCTCCTCCCACCCCCGTTTCTGCCACACTGAGCCAAGATTTCCTACTTGGTGACAGTCAGCTGACTTTCTAGAAAGCGCTTCGTAGGACAGGCTCTTTCAGTCAAGAGAAAAGCAGATTTTTCTTCCTGATTTCCTATAGTATGTATCTAATTAAAACATTGTTTCCACAAAGGACTTGCTTATGAAGCATTTACTACGTACTGTGTTGAGTACTTCAAATATTCTATGATTAATATAATTTATATTAACTCTATCATTTAATCTTCTCCAGAAACTAATAAGGCAGTTAGAAGAGAATGGGGAATTATACAGGTTAAATGACTGTCTGGAGGTTCTGCCGTCAGTGAATTACCAAGCCAGACCTTGGTACTCAGACCTCAGTCCTTTGAATGCAAAACCCGCAGTTCTGACTTCAGTACCCTGCCTTTGTCAGGCCTGGGACTCCATACGATGTAAGGCGAGCTCCTTGGCTATGCTGAGCCCTCACCTTCTTTACTAAGCACATTAGTGTTTATAGATAATTCATTTCGACTTCTTGTGGCTCTCCTCTGATCTGCTGATGCGGATAATTAAGGGTTGAATGTTCAGAAAATTTACCAGTCTGCCCCTTTCCTCGGGGAGCTTGCAGGTAGTAAAATTAAAAAAAAAAATTGGTATTCTTTACTACTTGTCCGGCGTTATACTCCCCAGGTGAGCTGGTAAGTGGCTATTTATGTGACAGTTTTTTAATGACTACCAGGTTCCTTCCTGTGTCCGGAAAGAACACATGGGTTAAAGCCCAGAGCCTGTAAATCACAGCAATTATGGGGGACACAGTTTAGATCAAAAGGGGCAAAATCAATTCTGCTTCTGGATTGTTCACACCTTGTAGTTGCTTTTCACTGTATAGTGTAAAGCTTCTATGATTTTCTTCTGCTTTCCCATTACTCTGAGTTATTGTTCAGATTTTAATGGATTTACTATGGGCATTGAGGACACCTCTGCTATAGTGAAGGAAAGAAATTCGGAACTATCCTTGATAATTAGATAACTACCTTTGGTTGTGCACTTGTCAAAGCATTTTAAAGCAATGGATGGCCTCAGAGTCGGCTAGTGGACTCTGAGAGTTGCGACCAGCAATCTTCAGAAGACCTACTTCTATCTTTACCTGTTTGAACCATATATCATTACTGCATGCTTGCCTATTTGATTTACTTAATTATTTATGTCCATTTTCTTGAGTGGATTAGCACACTGATGGCATTTTCAGCTTATTCATTTGGCTGATGGAGTTTCCCTTTGAAATGTGGAATCTCTGCTCTGAGGCCCACTGTGTGTGTGTGTGTGTGTGTGTGTGTGTGTGTGTGTGTGTGTGTGTATTACATTTGATCATGAGCATTCCTTCTGAGTTACTGTGATGGGATCCTTTTGGCTTTCAGAGCTGCTCTGAGAAACACAGATCCACCATTGACCTCGTGACTCTGTGTAGGTAGATCATCTGTCCTGCTCGATCTGGTCTCTTTCTCCGCAGAGCAGCGGAGTGCCGCTAGAATGTCCTGTGTGAGGAATGTGTCCGTCTTCTTTTCACATTGTTGAGAATCAGTATTAGCCCCAGAATCCTATTAGTTACTTCCATGTCTGCTATGAATGACTTCAGCATTATCAGATATTATGGGTTATCGGAGGCACCATGCAGGTGCTTAGCACCCCCTCTTGAAATATATTGAGCTGAAGATGAGAATATCTTGTCAGAGGAAATGGTGTTAGTCATTAAACAATTCCCTTTATAAAGTGATCGTGTCTTAGGATAGTTTGGCCAATTCCTTAACTTTAGTTGGGTTTCTTTTTAAGAATGAAAGGAAAGACCTTTTAATTAATCTCTTTTGACTTAGCTTTTCCTTCTAAATACATCTAGAAAATGCCCTCAAGTCTCTGTCTGCAGAGACTCTGTGGACCTTGCTATCAACTGTATGAATGATAGTATTGGTTGAGAAATAGATGCATGTGGGTATGTAAGTAGCTATTTTCCCTTAGAGGTTGAGTTAGCCAGCAGTTCAAGGACAGCCCTGGGGCATCCTAGGTGGGACAGCTACAGGAATTAACTCAAGAAAAGGGGCTGCTATGAGTGTGAGTGGTGAAAAATGTTGTAGTTTGGACAGTTTGGCTGTGGAAAAAGTTTTCATGTCAGAGAAAGGGAACATTTTAAGAGGGAGATTGGTGATAAATACTCAGTTTTGACCTTTCTGTTGGTGAGAAAGAAGGTGGGGAAGGCAAAAAGTGAGGGCAAGGCAGAGATGTGAGCTGCAAGTGAGTCCCTCAGCGGTCAGGACTGGGTTGTGCATCCGTCTCTGGACTTGGCTCTTCACTGTGACTTCTGCTGCGGCCCCTAATGGCACACTCAGGGGAAACAAGCTCATCTGTGGCATGTGTACCTCTGTGCCTGCTGTGACATAGCCCCCAACTCCCCCAAGACAACCAAGGCAACCTGAGAGGCCTCTAGGAAACGTGGCAGTCAGGACTGAACAGCCACATGGTATTGATTGGAGTGTGCCATTCACGGCTCAGTACAATACTTTTGTATACCATAAATTAGGAAAAATGAAGGCAGTGAAAGTCTGCACTATCTAGAATTCATCTTTGTTAGGATACTTCAGTATAAATTCAACATCGCTGACATGCATTTGACAGCCTCTGGTGTACTATTTACGGGTCGCTTCTACGCCAGAGCTTGAGTTACAGAGCTAACATGGATGGAGAGAGAAGGGTGGCTGCTTTCTGTCTTGGCCTCTACTGTCAAGGGCAGCTAGCTCTGTAACTAACTTGGGTCATATCTAAGATAGTCCATCATTCCATGGGTGAGACCATAAGTGGCCTGGTAGTACACTTGAATTTCCAAAATCCCCCTGGGCACGATGTCATGACAGAAGGGTGCTCCGTAGACACCCAGGAGTAACCTTCCTAATAGTGACATTGGAGAATATAGGTTTAGGAAGCTGGCCTGGCCCAAGCTTCCTCTCACCTTCTTGAGGGTTCATCTTGTATCTTAAGTCACCAGAATAATAGACCTAAGATCTAGATCTATCTGTTATACCTCTAGTTGGACTTTCCAATGGCATAAGCCCACCCACAAGCCAGGATGGCACAGACGGTTCCTTAGATCCTAGCTTCTGAGACTGCAGAAGTGAAGTTGCTCGGCATGCATGTCCACCATCATCCTTGGCAATTGTCCTGTAATTTCATGCCTCTGTGCGTGAAGCGCTTGCTGCTTGTTGCTCCTCTGTCTGGTGAAGTGCTGCTTCTACAGGACACATTTGAGTCATCATTTCCTCCAGACACTCGCTCAGCTCTCTCTCATGTTTTTTCTCTGTGACCACCATCACCACACACTCTTCTCCTGCTCCATCAGACTCCTTATCTTACAGCGGTATATGTAACTCCTCTCCAGCACCATTACAAAACTCCTGCACATCAGAGGCTATCAGGGATGTATTTGTGTTTCTGGTGCCCATAACAGAGTATGACATATTGTAGTATGTAGACATATTGTAGTATGACATATCTCAACAACCTGCTAAACAGCAAGGCAAAGAATAAAAAACACGACCTTAGAAGAACCAGGCAATTTAGGAAGCCACTTTAAACACACACTAACTTTAAACCACTGCATAGTATGCTTCTAAGAAGATCTTTGAACTTGTCTTTAGGGATAAGGATGAATATGTACTTGTGTTAGATTTCTATAGTCATTTGCAAAAACCATATATAATATGGCAGGTTATTGCTTTTTATCTCCTCACTGTCTTCATATTTTCTGAATGGAAGAGGGTCCAAATGGAAGGGATCACTGACTTATCGGATAATAAATTGTTCAAGTAGACTGGCTGGTGAATTATACCACCTACCTATTGGTTACTTTCCATGACATGCTTATATTTTGTGACTACGTGGACCTTGTAATAGTCACCGTGTCCTTTTATTCTGCTTACGCGGAACAGAGGAAGGGGGCAATCGAAAGAAGCTAGGCAAGGAGGTTTATGTCTGTATGTCTGTATTTCTATCACTTTGGCATCAAAAGCAGGAAGAAGAAGAGTTCAGAGTCAGACTAGGCTATTTAGTGAGTTACAGGCTAGCTTGGTCTACATAGCAAGGCCCTGTCTCAAAAAATAAACAACAAAATAAAAAATGCATTTATATTCATCTAAAATATAATCTAAGTCTTTTTTTAACCAAAATTTTATTCTCCAAAAAAGATGTTTTTATCGATTATTTGGTTTATTTCATAGCATATTTATACTTTGTGACTATATTGACCTTTCTCTATTATATACAGAGAAAATTATTTTTTAAAAATTAGAGAAAACAGCCGGGCAGTCGTGGTACACACCTTTAATCCCAGCACTTGGGAAGTAGAGGCAGGCAGATCTCTGTGAGTTCAAGGCCAGCCTGATCTACAAGATCTAGTACAGGACAGCTAGGGCTGTTATACAGAGAAACTCTTGTCTCGGAAAATAAACAAAAACAAAAAAATATTAGAGAAAGCTGGGCATGACAGTACATGTGTACAGTGCTAGCCCTTGGGTGTCTGAGGCAGGGAGATCATGAATTTAAGGCCAGCCTGGACTACTAGTGAAACCCTGTGCAAAGGCAAGCAAGGAAACATCAGGACCGTATGACAGTCATGACGCTTGGGGAAGAAAGAACAGTGGCTTTTCTGTCTCAGGATGGGATGGCAGCGAGAAAAAAAAGATGGAGGCCAGTAGACTGTTTATGTTAAACACCTTTTCACAGCAGTGAAAACCAGAGGCTGGGCTTTAGGGCCAGTACAGTGTAGCACTCTAAGAACCCGGAATCTGTTAAGAAAACACAGGACATAATGCCTGGATTTGGCATGCGTATTTGCATTTTTATTTCCTTGCTCTGTTTAGCTTGCTTTTGGTTTGCGTCTTGTCCCGGACTAAATGACCGAGAACACTGAAAGCCTA